ATCATAATTTGTTATTGAAAAAAACCTCACTTGTTATGGCTTTACATCACCTGCCATCACATGGTTAGAGAATTCCGTCAATAGAACCCAGAGAGTTTTCTTTAACAATTGAGCAGTTTATAAAGAATGTTAAGTAATTTTCGGAACAATTGGCCATGGAAAAAGTATTGCTTTGTAGAGTCTGGTGTGTTGCATATTTAAAGTTCCTCTGTGGAATCAACTGTGACTCCACCATTGTGTTCTGCTGTTGCTGCCTTTGTCAGTTAAATCTCCTTATTGTTATTGAGCATCAGAACACCATTCCATGAAGGCCCCAAGATTAGGAAAACCTGTTTGGGTTACCATTCACCTGGTGATGAATAACTGACTGCCTGACTGCCTGACTGACTGACGGATTGCTGTCACAATGCTTCACCCTTCGTAGTTTCTATTTTCTACTTTTTTGTTTGGTCACTTCTTCCGCCTTTTATCAATCATCATTATTGTCGCCATTCAAATGCAGTAACAGTAGTGTTTTGTTAAAAATGACAGCTATAACATAAGTAACTGATGGGTTTTTGTTGTCAAACTGTAGGGTTGTGAGAAAAGATTGTGAATAGGGTATGCAAGGTGATATACATTTTTTTAAGGTGATTGATTGTCGATTGTACTGTAGTACTGTACATTTCTATTTTCCCATAGTGTAGCCTTTTATTTTCAGTAGCAGCGCATGGGTAAAATCACTGGGGAAGCCAAGCCAGGAAAATAAAGCCATATTACAACTTACGTGTTAGTACATATGCCTTGCCACCGTGATATATAGACCTAAGGCCGAGACAATAAGAACACACAATCACACTAAACCGGAAAGCAACATCTGTCTGGAGGAGTCCACAAAACATATTGCATGTAACAAACAGTTACATGACCTACAGCATGGTCTATCAAGTTAATGTTTCTGACATTTTTGGACTGCTAAACAACTATTGATTTAGAACACAGGAGAGTTACCGCAAGTCGCAAAGAAAACAGGAGCTGCCTCCACTATTCCACCACCTTCAACTTCAACATTTCAACATTATCAAATCACCTATGCTTAGTCTAATACAGTGACAACTAAAAGATTCCAAAAACAATTTAGTCCACTCAACGTAAGCATGGTACTGATTTCTGTGTGTATGTGTGTGTGCGTAAGTAGAAAAAGCATGTTGACACCCTACTTGTGGAGAAATGTCAGTGCCATCCTCCTCTCTTTCATGTTGCCGAAACGGTCTATAACTCTGTCATACAGTACACACTTTTAGTTTTATTTGTACTAGGTTACCTGGCTACAATGTTGCTTGCCAGCCAAACTTCCTTTCATGGGCAACGATTAGCCAGCTAGTTAACATTAGCCAACTACATCTAGCTACGTATTGAACTTCCATCCTCTCAGGCCAGAAGCACAATGTATGAATTTATGGTTGGATCAGAATTGCTGTTATAATCATTGGCCAATACGGTGAATTAAGTAAAACCACAAGTCCAAATCCCTGTCTCCATCCATGGCTAATTTAAGAAATGAACAATTTTAGCTAGCTAGCTAGCCACTGGAGGACAACAACAAAACAAGATGCAACAATTCAATGACAATTGGCTTTTGATGTGATTGGTTTGAAGCCAAATCGAAACTGGCTCCCCTTGGCTCACTCAGTTTAGCTCAATGCTGATTAGCTATTATTGTATACTTTTTTTTATCAAGGGAGGCCAAACGCTCGCGAGCTTCCCTTTTATTCTACAGGAGGCAAGAATATCATACTCTTTTTGACCAAACAGCATCAGATATATGGGCTACACATAAAGAGACAGAGGTGTGCTGTTTCGCTCGCTCTGATGCTTTCTCCGTTGAGATATGTTCAGCCTCTTGCGAATTGAAGGAAAATCATGAAACACAGAGAGACTAAATAAATTATTTTATATGTTTTTTTCTTTCTTTATTGGTAAATTTTTTGGGGAAGCCTGGCTTCCCTTGGCATATATGAATACGTGCCACTGTTTATTTTAGCAGCTTGTGTGCCAGTCTTTTTATGCTTTCTCCTTATGGAATTGTCATGCCAAATAGTGTTTGGCTTGACAATGAAAGCAATGGATTTGGCAATAGCACAAACAGATCTGGGACCAGTCTAAGTGGTCCCCTCTCTCACCTTACCATCTCTCTCCATCTAGTGGAAGAAGTTTAGAAGTTTGTTAGTGTTGAACATTTTGGGCTGGTGTAGTAGAGGGAGTGACTGTTTTATAAATAGTTGATAGTAGCCTTCAGTGTGAGACTAGGTAGTAGTAGTAGTAGTAGTTAGTAGCCCAGAAGTACTAGTAGCAGTACATTGCAGTAGTAATAGTAAATGTTTTAGATAGGTAGGCCATTGGTTAGCTATAGAAAGTGTTTAGTGGGTTGGGGGTGAGTTGTGTGGCATAATCAGTATTATTGGTAAAATATATTTCTGCTCTGATTTCAGATTGGAAAAGCAGAGAAGTAGAACATTTTTTTTTTATCAATAGTTGTTTTTAAGTTAGAAAATCGTGAGGCCGTTCTACAAAGGTGTAACGATTTTGGATGTAAATAATTTTTAATCTATTTCAATTTAATACATGTGTAGCACTTCTAGATTTTTTGAAAGTAAAGTTTCGAATCAGTAGCAAGCAATTAAAAAACATTTAAGTTAGGAATTTTTTGTTATAAAAACAGCTGTAACATTGATTGGATTGGTAGAATATATTTTTATTCTGATTTCAGATTTAAATAGCAGATAAGTAACCCACGTCTAGGTTTTTATGTAAGTTGTTGGGAAAGTTGTCAAAACTTGTTTTCAGCAAGCACATCTCATTAGTAATACTAATATGTACAGTACCAGTCAAAAGTTTGGACACACCTACTCATTCAAGGGTTTTTCTTTATTTTTACTATTTTCTACATTGTAGAATAATAGTGAAGACATCAAAACTATGAAATAACACATATGGAATCATGTAGTAACCAAAAAAGGGTTAAACAAATCAAAATATATTTTATATTTGAGATTCCTCAAAGTAGCCACCCTTTGCTTTGATGACAGCTTTGCACACTCTTGGCATTCTCTCAACCAGCTTCATGAGGTAGTCACCTGGAATACATTTCAATTAACAGGTGTGCCTTGTTAAAAGTTAATTTGTGGAATTTCTTTCCTTCTTAATGCGTTTGAGCCCATCAGTTGTGTTGTGAAAAGGTAGGGGTGGTATACAGAAGATAGCCCTATTTGGTAAAAGACCAAGTCCATATTATGGCAAGAACAGCTAAAATAAGCAAAGAGAAACGACAGTCCATCATTAGTTTAAGACATGAAGGTCAGTCAATACGGAACATTTCAAGAACTTTGAATGTTTCTTCAAGTGCAGTCACAAAAACCATCAAGCGCTATGATGAAACTGGCTCTCATGAGGACCGCCAGAGGAAAGGAAGACCCAGAGTTACCTCTGCTGCAGAGGATACGTTCATTGGAGTTAACTGCACCTCAGATTGCAGCCCAAATAAATGCTTCACAGAGTTCAAGTAACAGACACATCTCAACATCAACTGTTCAGAGGAGACTGTGTGAATCAGGCCTTCATGGTCGAATTGCTGCAAAGAAACAACTACTAAAGGACACCAACAAGAAGAAGAGACTTGCTTGGGCCAAGAAATACGAGCAATGGACATTAGACCGGTGGAAATCTGTCCTTTGGTCCGATGAGTCCAAATTTGAGATTTTTGGTTCCAACCGCTGTGTCTTTGTGAGACGCAGAATAGGTGAACGTCTGATATCCGCATGTGTGGTTCCCACCGTGAAGCATGGAGGATGAGGTGTGATGGCGTGGGGGTGCTTTGCTGGTGACACTGTCTGTGATTTATTTAGAATTCAAGCTACACTTAACCAGCATGGCTACCACAGCATTCTGCAGCGATACACCATCCCATCTGGTTTGCGCTTAGTGGGACTATCATTTGTTTTCAACAGGACAATGACCCAAAACACACCTCCAGGCTGTGTAAGGGCTATTTGACCAAGGAGAGTGATGGAGTGCTGCATCAGATGACCAGGCCTCCACAATCACCAGACCTCAACCCAATTGAGATGGTTTGGGATGAGTTGGACCGCAGAGTGAAGGAAAAGCAGCCAACAAGTGCTCAGCATATGTGGGAACTGAGTGTTGGAAAAGCATTCCTTATTAAGCTGGTTGAGAGAATGCCAAGAATGTGCAAAGCTGTCGTCAAGGCAAAGGGTGGCTACTTTGAAAAATATAAAATATAAAATATTTTTAAACACTTTTTTGGTTACTACATGATTCTATATGTGTTATTTCATAGTTTTGATATCTCCACTATTATTCTACAATGTAGAAAATAGTAAAAATAAAGAAAAATCCTTGAATGAGTAGGTGTGTCCAAACTTTTGACTGGTTCTGTATTTTAAAATAAAGTGCCACCAAACCCTTTTTTGCATCTCTTTTATCATATTTTATCTTCCCACTCACTTTTCTTACCTTACACAAATGCCCTGCCCATTTCAGTCGTCCTTCAAAACGGTGAGCAATCCAAGCAAGAGGAAATGGATAGAAAAGAGAGAGATGCCCTAAGCTATCCTCCCAGATCAAGCTACCACTACTGGTTCCTGTTGTGGTGAGGTAAACTCTCTCTCACTCCTCCCCAAGGACTTTGGAGCCATGGATCCTCTCTTTGTCTGTCTTTTCCCCTCTCTCTGATCATGCCGAGGTTATTAATGCCTTGTTAATGCCTGTAATGTCATGTAATTTAGGCTAAATTAAGGAATGGTTTTGCCTTGTATAATGGAATTCATTCATTTTATAATGTTATTATATACACTTGCATTGATATTCAATTGTTAGACCTTTCTTGAAATGCCTATTCCTGTAACTCAACAATAGTCCTTTTGCACATTGCTATTTATCTTATGGAGTTCAATAATACAATTTTCTAGACTTCGTTAATATACAAGTTACATAGTCTAGTTATGAGGTCAGGTGAGGAATGTATACAAATATTTCCCACTACAATGACAGAGTTATTTTTGGGAAAGTCAGATGATTAACTCTGGTTAATAATTAGTCATAGAGAGTGGAACAAATATCAAATAGCTGTCATTTCACCATTTTCTTCTTCCTCGTTTTAAGAGAGACATAAATAAGCCCTCCGACCGATCTAGCAGAGAAGCAGGCACAATGAGAAAGGTCACTTTACTCGCAGGTAAAAACATTCTTAATATGTTCACATATATTCTCTTTGTGTGAAATTCTTCTTATTTTTATTGACTTTCAATATGTGCTTTTTAAGGTCTGTGCTTGGCTCTGTCCCACTTGGGTGAGTTTCCACAACATTATGACATTTCCCACACATTATTATATTAACATTTGAGGATTTTTTTTATTTGAATTGTCACTCAGTATTCATCAAGAGAATGATGTTTGTATTAGTCATCTAGAATTATTGTGTGATATATAACAAAGATGCTACCATGAAGTTGTGTCACCCTGGGAAATGTTGACAGTGACTCATATATGATAGACACCGCATTCTGTTCCTGTCTAAGGCTCTACCTCCCAACTGGTCTGCTACTTTACCAACTGGTCCCAGTACAGACCTGGAACTGGGAAGTACCTGCCGGCTAATGTTGACCCTAACCTGTGTACTCACCTGATCTACGCCTTCTCCATTATCAACCCTGCCAATGAGCTTGCCACCTTTGAGTGGAATGATGAGACCCTCTACAGATCCTTCAACGGACTTAAAGACAGGTTTGCATCTTTTCCCAAGACATTCTGAGATGTTCATGGGTAATTGTTTACTGACAATAGTAATTGTATTTTTGTCATCCAACAGAAATCCTCAGCTCAAAACACTTTTGGCTGTCGGTGGATGGATATTTGGCACACAACAGTGAGATCTTTTATTTATTATATTTACATGGGTAACAGGTAGTATATTTTTTATGTATTCATAATATATTTCATATTTAGTAACATCAACCTGATTGAGCATCCCTAATTCTCCCTAGGTTCAGTATCATGGTTTCATCACCTGCCAATCGGCAGAAGTTCATCCAGTCTTCGATCAGTTTCCTGAAGAGGCATGGTTTTGACGGGCTGGACCTGGACTGGGAGTACCCTGGAGCACGGGGAAGCCCTCCAGAGGACAAGCACAGATTCACACTGTTGTGCAAGGTGATGGTTAGGGTTAGCGATATGGCTATGGTTATTGTTAGGCCAGGGTGTGGACATGAAGCTGGGGTAAGGGCTAGGGTTAAGGCTAGGGTTAGGGTTGAGCCGGGAAACAATGCTACTATACTTTTATTTAGGGATGAGGTAAAGAAATTACAATACATGTAATGCCATATGACAAAAAATACATCTGTTGTTTTTGTAGGAGCTCCTGGAGGCGTTTGAGGCTGAAGGCCAAGAATTCAGCCACCCCAGGCTGCTGCTTACTGCTGCTGTGGCTGCTGGGAAAGGGACCATTGATTCTGGCTATGAAATTGCAGACATTGCTAAGTAAATATGGATTTTAACATTATAACCACTGTAGTCACATTTTAGATAAACCATCATATGATGAACAGGATCCCATTTGGATTAATGGATGTGTATTAACTTGTCTTCTGGGTCGTTCCACATCATTTCAATCACTGTCTGACTACACCCCTTTTGATTTGAATGAAACCTTTCATACATGTTTGCCCATGGTGGAAGTGGTCAGAAAGTGACTTTTTTTGGACCTGAATGCCAAAACATTCAGGAGCTAGAGGTGCTCAAAGTTGACAACATTTTCAAACCCCACCCTACCATGAGATGTTAATGTCTTTATCACTGAAAAATATAAACTGTTGAGTTTGATATCATTTGAAAGCTGATATATGAAATCATATGGAACGACCTTTCTGTCTTTAGATACCTGGACTTCATTAATGTGATGACCTATGACTTCCATGGATCCTGGGAGACCTTCACAGGACACAACAGCCCTCTATACCAGGGATCCCATGACACAGGAGACCATATCTACTTCAACACAGTGAGAAAGGGGCTAAATCACGCTTCTTGTCTACATGTTAAATAAAGCCTATCAAATGTGAGTGTAAAGAAAGTACTGTATATACATTCATGCAAAATTAGTTTCAAAGTCTCTCTTTTCTGTCTCTCTCTCTCTCTGGCAGGATTTTGCCATGAAATACTGGCGAGATCAGGGAGCCCCTGTTGAGAAGCTGATGATGGGCTTTGCTACATATGGACGTTCATTCCGGCTCGCCTCTGGAGATAGTGGTGTCGGAGCGTCAGCCAATGGTGCTGCTTCACCCGGACCTTTCACCAGGGAGGCTGGTTTCTGGTCTTATTATGAGGTAATAAGGCTTAATTACGTATTTTTTGTGAACTTTGAAAGGTATCAAATTGATAGTTCACTTTTCAATTGAGGTAACCTGTTGCCCCTCCTGTTTCCAGATCTGTACTTTCCTCCAAGGAGCCAGTGTACAGTGGATTGACGATCAAAAGGTTCCCTATGCCTCTAAAGGAAATGAGTGGGTGGGATTTGACAATAGGGAGAGCTATGACACAAAGGTATGCTGCAGTGTTTCTGGGTTTTAATCCAAAATGGTGAACCAAACATCAAACTAAGCTAAGAAATTGCAAAAGAATCAAAGACATCAGTAGAAACTCCATACTCCTGTTATTTTCTTATGCTCTCACTCTCCCTTCCTAAGGTCCGCTACCTAAAGGAAAATGGCTTTGGAGGGGCCATGGTTTGGAATCTGGACCTGGATGACTTTGCTGGACAGTCATGTGGACAGGGCAACTATTCCCTGATCAGCCATCTTCACAAACTCCTCAACATTGGTAAATCACGTTTAAACGATTTCTTACTTGTCCAAATACACTGCTCAAAAAAATTAAGGGAACACTAAAATAACACATCCTAGATCTGAATGAATGAAATAATCTTATTAAATACTTTTTTCTTTACATAGTTGAATGTGCTGACAACAAAATCACACAAAAATTATCAATGGAAATCAAATTTATCAACCCATGGAGGTCTGGATTTGGAGTCACCCTCAAAATTAAAGTGGAAAACCACACTACAGGCTGATCCAACTTTGATGTAATGTCCTTAAAACAAGTCAAAATGAGGCTCAGTAGTGTGTGTGGCCTCCACGTGCCTGTATGACCTCCCTACAACGCCTGGGCATGCTCCTGATGAGGTGGCGGATGGTCTCCTGAGGGATCTCCTCCCAGACCTGGACTAAAGCATCCGCCAACTCCTGGACAGTCTGTGGTGCAAGGTGGTGTTGGTGGATGGAGCGAGACATGATGTCCCAGATGTGCTCAATTGGATTCAGGTCTGGGGAACGGGCGGGCCAGTCCATAGCATCAATGCCTTCCTCTTGCAGGAACTGCTGACACACTCCAGCCACATGAGGTCTAGCATTGTCTTGCATTAGGAGGAACCCAGGGCCAACCGCACCAGCAAATGGTCTCACAAGGGGTCTGAGGATCTCATCTCGGTACCTAATGGCAGTCAGGCTACCTCTGGCGAGCACATGGAGGGCTGTGCGGCCCCCCAAAGAAATGCCACCCCACACCATGACTGACCCACCGCCAAACCGGTCATGCTGGAGGATGTTGCAGGCAGCAGAACGTTCTCCACGGCGTCTCCAGACTCTGTCACGTCTGTCACATGTGCTCAGTGTGAACCTGCTTTCATCTGTGAAGAGCACAGGGCGCCAGTGGCGAATTTGCCAATCTTGGTGTTCTCTGGCAAATGCCAAACGTCCTGCACGGTGTTGGGCTGTAAGCACAACCCCCACCTGTGGACGTCAGGCCCTCATACCACCCTCATGGAGTCTGTTTCTGACCGTTTGAGCAGACACGTGCACATTTGTGGCCTGCTGGAGGTCATTTTGCAGGGCTCTGGCAGTGCTCCTCCTGCTCCTCCTTGCACAAAGGCAGAGGTAGCAGTCCTGCTGCTGGGTTGTTGCCCTCCTATGGCCTCCTCCACGTCTCCTGATGTACTGGCCTGTCTCCTGGTAGCGCCTCCATGCTCTGGACACTACGCTGACAGACACAGCAAACCTTCTTGCCACAGCTCGCATTGATGTGCCATCCTGGATGAGCTGCACTGCCTGAGCCACTTGTGTGGGTTGTAGACTCCGTCTCATGCTACCACTAGAGTGAAAGCACCGCCAGCATTCAAAAGTGACCAAAACATCAGCCAGGAAGCATAGGAACTGAGAAGTGGTCAGTGGTCACCACCTGCAAAACCAGTCCTTTATTGGGGGTGTCTTGCTAATTGCCTATAATTTCCACCTGTTGTCTATTCCATTTGCACAACAGCATGTGAAATGTATTGTCAATCGGTGTTGCTTCCTAAGTGGACAGTTTGATTTCACAGAAGTGTGATTGACTTGGAGTTACATTGTGTTGTTTAAGTGTTCCCTTTATTTTTTTGAGCAGTGTATATACAAACATATCAATGTTTTTTTTGCAGTCAAGTGCTATTCTGAATAGACATATTACATTTTATTTTCACCCAGAACTACCTCCCCTGCCACCTACACACACCCCATGGTCAGGGGCACCACCCACAGTCAAGGCCACCACCAAGGCCACCACCACTACTACCCTTGTACCCGGTGGTGGTTTCTGTGCAGGCAGGGCTGGCGGGCTGTATGTCAAAGCAGATTCCCCGAGCTCTTTCTATAACTGTGCCAACGGCATCACCTATATCCAGAGCTGCCTCGCTGACCTAGTCTTCAGGGACAGCTGCAAATGCTGCGACTGGCCCTAGGACTGTCATGTCTGTTATTTGACCTATGGGAGAGTTGGGTATGTTGAGCCATTTTTTACATTCAGCATCACTACATCAAGGGAAATATAACTCTCTTCCTAACAAAGATATCGACATATATTTCAGGATCATGTGTATCGCTGGAAATAATCAGAATGTATGTAAACATAACAGTTTTGAAAACATAGGTTGTCCAAAAAAAGTGTTCTCAGAATCTTGGCACAAGTTGAGCATAGAGACAGGGTAAGTTGAGCCGCCTTGGGGTAAGTAGGTGATGGTGTCCTGTGACAGAGGGTGATGGTGCTGGTAGATCAAAATTTAAATCTTGGAATGGGGTTCTGGTATATTGTATATCTTAAATGTATGCCTCGGTCATACTGTATATAGATCTCTCTGTTCAATATCACTTACCCTTCCATTTCTTGACCAGTTGTCTGGGACAGGGATGTTGTTTTGATGTGCCAATTCGTAGGAAAGTTCTCTGCATTTGAGGCTACTGAGCCCATGAAACTGGTCTGAGAGATTCTTCATATGTTTAGCAAGCTCAGACTAGATGTCATCAGATATGACCTTGTGTGCCTCTGCTACTTTACCAATTGCCTCTCTTTCGCACATGTACATGTACATGTTCATTTTCTTTTTTGTCAATGTACCTTTTCAGTGTCATTCAGTCAATTCTTTCATCTCTTACTGCTGCTCAAATTAACTTATTCCCTTCTCTCACTTCCTTGGTTGCTCTCTCAAGAACCTCAAGGGGGGCTAGACCTTTGCTTGTTTTACGTTTGTAAACATGGGGCACTATCTTGAGTTCATATGCATGGCACATTGCAAAAATATATTATGTATAACACTGACAAAATGTAATTATAATTTGTATGGGGGTATGGTGGCCATTGGCTCAACTTACCCCATGGTCATTGGCTCAACTTAACCCAAGGCAAACATTTGGACTATATTAGCCCACACAGCTACAAGGATACACTTTCATGCTACACTACATGACCAAAAGTATGTGGACAACTGCTCGTCGAACATCTCATTCCAAAATCCTGGGCATTAATGTGAAGTTTGTCCCCCCTTTGCTGCTATAACAGCCTCCACTCTTCTGGGAAGGCTTTCCACTAGATGTTGGAACATTGCTGTGGGGACTTGCTGAGGTCGGGCACTGATGTTGGGTGATTAGGCCTGGCTCGCAGTCTGAGTTCCAATTCATCCCAAAGGTGTTCGGTGGGATTGAGGTCAAGGCTATGTGCAGGCCAGTCAAGTTCTTCCACACCAATCTCTACAAACCATTTCTGTATGGACCTCGCTTTGTGCACGGGGGCATTGTCATGCTGAAACAGGAAAGGGCCTTCGTCCACCGGACACCCATATTCATCCGTCGGACTGCCAGATGGTGAAGCGTGATTCATCACTCCAGAGAACGCATTTCCACTGCTCCAGAGTCCAGTGGCGGCGAGCTTTACACCACTCCAGCTGACGCTTGACATTGCGCATGGTGATCTTAGGCTTGTGTGCGGCTGCTCGGTCAAGGAAACCTATTTCATGACACTCCCGACAAACAGTTATTGTGCTAACGTTGCTTCCAGAGGCAGTTTGGAACTCAGTAGTGAGTGTTGCAACCGAAGACAGACTATTTTTACGCGGTACGCGCTTCAGCACTCGGCGGTCCCATTCTGTGAGCTTGTGTGGCCTACCACTTCGCGGTTGAACCGTTGTTGCTCCTAGATGTTTCCACTTCACAATAACAGCACTTACAGTTGACCAGGGCAGCTCTAGCAGGGCAGACATTTGACAAACTGACTTGTTGGAAAGGTGGCATCCTATGACTGTGCCACGTTGAAAGTCACTGAGCTCTTCAGTAAGGCCATTCTACCGCCAATGTTTGTCTATGGAGATTGCATGATTGTGTGCTCGATTTTATACAACTGTTGGCAACGGGTGTGTCTGAAATAGCCGAATCCACTAATTTGAAGGGGTGTCCACATACTTTTGTATATACTGTATAGTGTAGGTTTAGGACCTCATATTGTAGCTTATAGAGACCTCAACTGATGTACAAAACAATCTTTAAACTATCTACTTTGGTTTAGATACAAGCATCATGACACCTATAACACAATAAATTCATTTGTACCTAACTTGCTTACCACTTTTTCCATGTGCTTTCTTCCTTCACAGACTCCATGAAATGATGACCTCGGCTCGTCCTAAATATTTGGTCACATTATTAATTTTGTATGGTGTTGAGTTCTGACTTGAAATATACTTATTCCTGTAACTAAATAAGGCCTTATTGATTATGTTATGTGCAAAATGAATGTATATGTTATTGGTCACTGAGGGGTGAAGAGGGACTTTGTTCATGGAAAGTAACTGTGAGAGAAAAGGGGAACAGTGTTTATAACCAAAGTCTGTTCAGTAATGTGAACAAAAGGTCACTTGTAAACATCATGGAGAAGTGATCGGATAAAGAGGAACAGCACAACATTTATGCAGTGTTGGGCAACAGATAGCAGTTCTGAGAAGTTACCTCCCTAACCTCATCTTGACATATAATGCCTGTTTGATCATGTGCAAAGTGTGCTTGCAGCTGAAGCACCCAGTGGGTTGAATAAACGTGGTTTGAGCTTTTTCTAGTCGTCCGTTTGAGTTTATACTCTGTTCAGAACCTAACAATGGTTTCCTAGAAACAAGGGGTGGCTCAACTAACCCTTTGGCTCAATTTACCCCACTCTCCCCTATGTACAGCCCTGAGGGGCAATTTTCACACTTGCTATATAGATTATACAAAGTAAATATCCTGTTATTATTTTTATTTACTGGCGTTGTGTCATCTCAGTAGCTAGGTTTCCATCCAATTTGCGACAAACTTTCATGCAAATATTCAAAACTCTGAATAAAACAATTTGCGCATTCTTCCATCAGAGATGTGTTTCCATCAAACGTACTTTTTCCAGATAAAAGGCTGTGGGTGATGACGTAGTGCACATAAAAATAACTTTTGCTGTTAAATTCCCATGTACCGAATGAAAAATACAAGTTAAAGGGGAATTTCACCCTGGCTCTGCCCACAGCATATAGTCATTACTATATTAACAACATTACGTTTTTGTCGTAAACATCAACATTATCGAAACCAAAAGAACGGGCGCATTTTCATTTCACTGGTAGAATCGGGAAGTTTCGACTTCCTGTGTATTCGTCTGCTTATAGTGAACCACAAAGTCCAGTATTCATAGTGAATGCAGATACCGCCCCGCTAGGTAGATGGGGCGTGCCCACAAACTTCATTGCGTTCTTTAATGTCGAATGACCAACACACAGTAATCTAAGAACTTCTCTAGGCAATTTACTTTTTGAACACTTGTTTTTCACTAACATTTGTCATCATGCTCGTGTGGTGTTCTGTGTGGCTGTGCTAATTACAAACAAGCGCTATGTGTTATCTTTCACCGTTCTACCTACCAGAGATTTACCCAGATACTGCCAGTGGTTTGCGGCTATCAAGAATGATGCTTAGGTGACCAAAGATTATCAGAGGGATTTTCAGGCTGAATGAATGGGGAATCCATTTAGAAGACAGCTGAGAAGTGATGCGATACCATCATTTTCTCCCTTCACAACAAAATGGAAGATTCTCAAATAGAGGTAAAGTACCGTTAGCTGGACTAGGTAAATTAGCTACGTTAGCTAGCGTTACAGTCCTGTATTGAACTCTGAAAGCAATCAGCAAAATCATATAGCTATCTATATTTTGGTTACACGCTGTCAATCAACTTCACCTATGCTATGGTACTCACTGAAACACTGGTAGTTACCTTCAGCAGAATAAAGATGTTTGTTTGTTCGTTCTATCTTTGACTAACATTAGCTAACGTAAGCTAGCTAACATTAGCAAATAACAGTAACTCAATCTGGTAGCCATTTATTCCACCATTGTCTGGAAAACACTTTGTCGATATAGCTAACTCACTCTCAGTGTGTTGGTAGTAATGATGAATGTGTATAAATTGTCTATGGTTGGTTAGTTGGTTCCACCAGCATGTGTTTCCAGCCCCAAGCTCTGCACAAGATGAAGGCAAATATTTTCAAGCTGACGGCTAAGATAGCTCAATTTACATTAAGCATGCCATAAACATGAATTGGGTAGTGTTATGGGGTTACAGGTGGTTAGATGTAGCCTGAGAACCACAGAGTACCTTCCAGACCATGTAATCATTTTAGTCTACCCCTTTTTCTTTTCTCTTTGTAAAACCTGCTGAAAAATACCCCAAAGTGGCAGTATTTTGGGTACACAAGCATGAGGGAGGGGACACACCTTGCGGTTATGGAGCACAACAAGATTGTGGGACAGAAACCAGCAAGGGACACTGAAAGGTATAAAATCAAGACAACAGTAATGACACAACCACCTCATTCTTCTCTCTGCAGATTCTCAAAACACAATACAAAGACAGGTCTACAAAAATCCCCTGCTACTATTGACAAGAATGATCTGTCAAAGTCAATGGGCTGGGGGAGGTTTACAGGTCTTTGAGATGAGGAAGGGGTTTTTGGTTGTGCTTAGAGACAGTAAATGTATTGTTATGTCATTTCTCTTCAATCTTCCATACACAACAATACATACTGTGTAAGAACTGATGACAGCCACCTGTCTAGATCAATGAGAGAAGACTTGAAATAGACAAGATGGAGGTGTCCACATTGTTGGATTACTTCATGTAGCAAAACAAGTATTATTTTAATAAATTCAAACTGACTCCTGTTTCCACGAATTGAGGATGAAGACAGCTTCGCCAAGCTAAGGTTGGTCAAAAATTCTGTGCTACACCAAACAGTACCTATCCTGTAACTCCCAGTAATGGATACCACTAATCTTTGGTTAGATCACATTAGCTGGTGTAACAATCTGTAGCTAAGAGAACTGGTGATCAGCAGATGATGGGAGAGGTGGTCATGATGAAATTGCCATTCCAAAGAAACATACAGTAAGTTCAGGGAACACTTGTACAGCTGTGGGAGAAGCGTTGTCATGATCAAACTGCCATCCAGCTCCTCTTGAGTCATCTTCTGCATAATGTCCAATCCATCAAGAGGGATACTGTTCACGGGATACAGTTTTTCTACAATGACACATGCAGGCAAAGGAATTATGTTCCTCTCGAAGAAGAATCCACTCCAGAAAGGATCCCAGGCACCACCCGGTATTGTCTGTAAGACAAAAAAGATAATCAATTATACTCCATTGCACAGTTTGAACTTTTAAGACACAGTTTTCGCTCACACAATATGAAATACTTTTTGCCCTGTTGTAACAGATCTATGACAGACAGGAATGATGTAACATTTATTCAAAGTCATAGGCTCTAGACCCGTTTAAAGGAAACAGTCAGGAGGCAGATACAAAAAACAAGCAAAGTTTATTAAAATATCTTGGTTTTATGTTTGCTTGTAAGGACGGGATAGCAATACAAAACATGAACAATATGAAGTACACAGGATGCTCATAGTTCACTCACAGTGCTACAGTGGAGGGAGGGCACTTCCAATAAACCACTTGGACCTCAAAGCCAGCAAAGCCTCTACAAACACATGAAACCAACTTTCAGAACAATGGACCACACCCCAAACATTTCTTCTCAAACAGCATGAGCATGTTCACAAAATGCTTACTTCACAGACAGACTTGTACAGCAGCGACATAGGGCGTAAAGCCATAGCGATGTATAGAGATCATTACTTGTAAATAACTCGTTTATGCATGGACATTGCCACTGAAGGCTTCCACCATTTTAAAGTAGTCAACTGGGTGGGGATTCATATGGGTTGGGAGCAATTAGCCAATGATCATAGCATTGTTTTCTTCTTCAAATTTGTTTGCCTAGTTTGTAAATGGCCTTTTAGCTATGTCACTGCCATGTAGTGGCCACAATAAATTAATGATACACAATATTTGGTCCAAGACTCGAAGCACTGCAGGTGGCGGTAAATCACCAATATTAGCTTTACACTTTATTCAAACATCAAAAGACGAAAATGTACTACTTAAAATGGAGATTAGGGATGGGCTTTTGAAATATTTTCACTATTCGTATAATATCATGCATTTTGGGGGGGATATCTGAATAGTCTAAATATGTGTTTTTTGTGAAACTTTTATACAACTTTTTTTTCTAAACAGCACTTGTTTGCTGCATGACTCGGAAAGCTCTGTTTGCTGCTGCAGCAGGGCGGGGGAAGGTTAGGGGCCGGTGTAAGACGGAAGGGAGGAAGAGGGAGAGAAAGTAGCCATACTCGTGCTAATTAGACAAACTTGTTGCTGCCTTAGGTTATCTATCATACCATCTGGCAATGCCTGTATTGACTACATCAAATCGATGTAAAGAATCTAGCTACGCTAGCCAGCTAAGTTAGCCAACTAGCTAGCTAGCAAGGCTAATTGAAGCTATTTTGCTGCGCTCCACATCCTTGTCTACAACCACTCCATTCAGATTAAACAACAGCCTACCTGTTGGTTGCTCGTTGTAGTCTAGTCCTTCTCATTAAAGTAACTTCATTCCATAATTTTTATTCCATTTTGCAATGATTAGAAATATCCTACTTCACCTGCTAGTCTACATATTGAGCCTCTGACTGTAGTGCCGCTTTGATTGCCCGACATTAACAACAAGCTACACATGTGAAACGTGTGCAGGCTACCGGTATGTTTTTTTATGGCATGCTCGTCATTCAAATAAAAACTAAATTCAAAAGTTTGTTGTGTTCTTTTTTTTCCTTTTCTTTAAAAAAATAAAAAATAAGGGGGATTAGAAGTGATGCAAACACTTAATTTGATAAAACCCCAAATCTATCTGCAATATTAAAGCTGAAAATGAAATGACTTGCCACAAGCAGCACTGTAGATATTGAGATGAGCGAGATGCAAGACTGGTCCATATCTGTTTTTTCTCTCACACACAGTATCTGCACATGTGCACGGGTTCACTTCACGCTGTTCACAGCTCGGTAGCCAGGGCACCAAAACAACAGAGAAGTTGAGTCTCGCACTTCAACACGCTTAGTTTTTGCAGAAATTGACCCACTATGCTGTTTACTTTCTGCATCTACTTCATTTCACTGAGTCTACCTTTAAGAATGTCAAATGTCATGGTGTATAGTAGAGCTGGGACGATAAACTGAAAATTACCGACACCGACATTGTCTTCCTCTTACTGAAGCATTTTGCTTATGTTGGTAATTCCCGGTGATTTTTCAACAAAAGGTTCCTGTAGATTGTTCAAAATTCTTTGGTCAACAGCAATAGCCTATGCATTACGCGGCATGTAGCCTAGCGGTTAAGAGCGTTCGGGCCACTAACCAAAAGGTTGCTGATTCGAATCCCAGAGCCGGCAAGGTGAAAAAATCTGCTGTCTGCCCTTCAGAAAGGCATTTAACCCCCAACAATAACTGCTCCCCGGGTGCCGATGACCTCGATTAAGGCAGCCCCCCGCACCTCTCTGACTCAGAGGGGTTGGGTTAAATGTGGAAGACACATTTTGGTTGAATGCATCCAGTTGGGCAACTGACTAGGTATCCCCCTTTCCCATTATGTTGATTACTGCTATGAAAGTACAGTGTATGCCTGTCCCTGTTTCGCTGTCGGCTGCTGTGTGA